CAATCTCACGTGTAGTTCCTGCCATCTTCAGCCAACATTACTGCAGCCACGCCTTCTAACCCATTCTGGCCTTGCGTTCTCTCTGGCCGGCTGCCTTGAATGCCATATCTGCACATACTGCATCCAACCCCTGAACCCTTGTCAAGAAGCGTGCAACAAACGCAAAACGATTCCTGCCAACACAACCACCGACCCCCGATGGGTTTGTGTCAACTTACTCCCCCATAGCCCTGCATGAATCATTTTCCCGCGTGTTGGGCAACTGTCAGCTTTTCCGCTGTGTGAAGGGATGATCTCCCCAAATGTCTTCCGGCACAACCACTAGAATGGTGCACTTCTCTTCAAATCGGGAGCCCAAATGGCCTTCCTATTCACACACACACACACCATAAAACCGTACAGCATCCAGCATTATCCCCTACCCATGCCCTAGGATGGATCAAAGATTTGCTTACGGGTTACGCAAGGAAGACAATACAAGCAGGACCTGATCTCTGGAATCCTTCGCTAAGCATACTAAATATATGTCCCTGTGACCCCAAAAGTTCCAGTCCTCGTGAGGAAGCGAGGAGGAAGCAGCCGTGGAGTCGGTCGGGGTGCCGACAACCTCAGGAAATCAAGGGAAAAATAATCTTTGGAGTTTCGTGTTGGGGGGCATTTCCTGCTGTCATGACAAGGACCGTGAATCGGGTTAGAAGTCCAAAGGAGAGTCGGTTTGGGGTGGTATGCTAAAATCACCGTCATGGTACGCATGGTAGAGGGACAAGTTTCCGAATTGTTCAGGCTTCTACAGTAGTGCCCACATTGATTTCTCTATGCCGTCCGGTATCCTTCAGAGATGTATCACCCGAAGCACGACATGATTGCGGCACATGGCCATTTATTATGTGGGCTCCAAACAAGAAATCCCGCGTGAACCTGCCAGCTCAACAGAAAACCTTCCCAGCTCCTGCAGATTCCTCACTCGCATCCGCGCGCAGAAACGGTCTTGGAACACAGAGCGTGTCCTTGATAAACCAAGACCTAGGACAAGGAAAGCGAAACCCGCTAGAGCCTTGGGCACAGAAATCAGTGACTGACAGAAGCATCTTGCACATATATGTAGCTTGATGTTGAACATAGGGATCTGACACGAATTTGAGGCCTCATGGTGGGTTCTGGATCTAGCTATGCAAGGCACTGATCTGGACTGACTGCTCAGAAGCTCCAATCGCTCCCGCCGAGAGTTTGCCGGAACGGTGGGAATATCCACTAATCATTTTTCGCGGCTTGATGAGATTCAACAAGGCTCGTCATGATCCCTATCTTCATTGCACTGTAATACAAGTCTTCAATGGGGCCATGGCCATCAGCAAATCAAGCTGTCGGACGACAAGCAGCAAGAGATGGGAATGTATTTAGGGGATTTTCTATGCCAATTTCTCTGGGGCCGCAGGCAGACTTGTCTGTAGGCTTTTATATCAAAGCTGGGTCATACTCTGAGACTAAGCACCAAGGATGTTTGCATGACTGATGGGCCTTACTAGCATGTGGTGCCAAGCATGCTTTGAGAAGGAGCTATCTGGGCGAGTCCCCCAACTGAGCGCGAGTTGCCTGTGGTTAGGCCTGCCTGCTGGCGAACTGAGATCTTGCAACAATTCTGCACATGCCTCCTGTGGACATCACTATGAGAACTAAATCCCTCCAAAGCAAAAGGCCAGCGCGCGAGAGCTGGAGCAAGTGGCACATCTGACTTGCAATACTGCGGTAACCACCCCGTAGCCAAACCTAATGCACTTCAATAGCTGGAAGGACTCCAGCTTACCGTGCTTCTGCTGAGTACGCCCACTGAAAAAACTACTTGAGAACCCTGAAGCGCCGAAACCTACACCGGACACCTTGAAACCAGGTGCCCCATCTTCTTCCTTGGATATTAGAATTTTCTGAATCTGGCGTAGTGTGGCAGACGAGGAATGCTGGAATGGCGGCAATGCAAATTGTGCAGCAAAAGCGCAAACAATGCTGCTGATCATCTGACTGACTTCTGCTGACTAGCGAAGAAGAACTGCAGCAGCACCACTACTCATAGACATTTCGCTCACGTGTATGAGCCAATCTACAAACACTTGTCCTACTCATACAGACCCTTCCGACTCCCCGAAACAGTTGCTCTAAATTTTCAGGCAAGGCAGTCAGTACATGGTGTACACTGTTTTTTTCCGCCCTGGCCCGCTGCCCCATCATGGCTCCTGCGGCTTGGGCGCTGGGCGCTGGGTTTTGGTGAAGGTTTACGCTTTGAACTTTAGTTGGGAAGTGGATGCGTGACATGAATTTCCAAGTAAACAATACGACGGCAAGTGTTACAGAACGAAACCCAACAGGGGGACTTAAACCGTAGAAATCCCCATGCTAATTTAGGGAAATGCACCTGGGTTAAGCAAACATCTCTCCATGAACTGAGACCTTGCGAATGGACTCCCCTCCTTGTCAAGGACTCTTTGACCCGAGCCATCTACGGCGGCTCGTGCTTCAGATTCGCTACAATGCAGGGCTTAAAGCCCGAAGCTTCCACTGCCAGCACCACCTGCCTAGCCAATTCGCGCACCTGAGACGTGTGGGAAGTGGCGCAGGGGGGGATCGCCTAGCGGGATGTAAAGTTGGGGATCTCAAGGTCATCTTGATCATCTCCTAGAAACCTTTTAATTTTAGAAGTCTTCGATCATGAAGACCATCCTCGACTCAAAGTTCACAAGATCGTAGTCGCACGTGTTTCTATGGGCTTGGAGGGCTTGTGGTCATTTTAATCCGATGAAGGCTGCCTGGATCTCCGATGCTCCAGGGCAGCGAACAAGGGCTCGGCCACCTCAGAAACGGATACAGTAGCCAGTTCCGAGATTCCGTTGTTTTGGGATTCTGTGCTGCTATCCCCAAATAAAAACCATCTCAACCCTGAAAGCCAACAACCAATCCATAGCAATTGTCGATGTTCTCTTGTGGCCGATTGGACCCCCATCGGGAAGGTACTCTTAGGATTGGTGTGTGCGGTTTGGGTCTTTGAGTTGTGGTCCAGCTCAGCTCAAAGGTTTGAGTTTGGGTTGAAAAGGACATCTCGATTTTCTCTGGAGACTCCTTCCCTTTCACGCTTATGAAAACCAACACATCTCAGAGCTGTCCACTCCATATTAAACCTCTAACCTCTGCCTAAATCCTAACTTCAGACTCTGAAGCCCACTCAGACCGTAAACCCCACAACCCTGCATCGCAAAGCACTCACCTACCCTTCTCCCTCTCCCGCCTTGTGCCTCCAACCAGGCCTCAGAACCTGCAACTCCTTCAACACTCCGGAGGGAGCTGTTCACCTTCCTGGGCTTGCGGTTTGCATGGGAGATTATGCAGGAATTGTGGGGGGTTCATTATAGGCAATTCGGAGCGCAGGGATGTTGGGTCTTGATTTTGGGCGTAGCCAGTTTTTGCTTTTTGCTGTGGGATGGGGGACAACAGCCACCATTTCAGGAGCCTTAAGGGCACTCTAGGCCAAAAAGAAAACGTTCAGAATTCAGGGTCTGGAACTCAGACTAGGGGATTGGTCAATGTCTAGGCTTCAGTAACTCAGTCTTCAGCAGCCATAACTTCTGTGTTTAAATCTGAGAGCTCACGCTTTTCAATTGGGATCTACAACAGTATCGGGTGATGACAGCCAAGTGTCTTGATGCAGGCCACGCAGCCCATGCCAGGAATACTCAGCTCCACGTGGGCTGCAGAGGAGACCCTTGCCCGGCTCTCCGAGAACATGTTCCAACAGTGCACCAGTTCCTTGGCAATATAGAGAAGCACAAAAAACCAATGGCCAAGGCTGACTGTAGTTCCAAGGCCATGAACACACAAGCTCAACACAGACTATGTAAACATGTTCACCAAAATCTACCAAGACTCCGGCAAGAAGGCAAGAAAGCACTGAAAAAATGAGGAGGCGGACGTGGGCATGTCGTTGGATGATGGGCACGGCTGCTGTGCTGAGCATGGCGCCTAGAAAGAAGGGTCGCAGAGGGCCTAGTCGCTTGTTGAATCCAGCACAACCACCGGCACCGACCAGGACATTGATGACGAGCTGAAGCCCACAGCAGGCGCTAGAAAGAAGTGGCAGCAGAAACACATGCCAAATGTCTGAAAACAGTGAGACGGTGGCTGAAGCTCGCAGCGGGGCCGGGACTGAAAAATGACGGCCCATGTAGAGCTGCAGACTCAGCATAGCCACGAAGATCATAACTGTCCTTTGAAGGAGGCCTGGAGACCACAGGAGGTAGTAGGAAAGTGTGGATGCTGCAGATGGGCTGCCCCCGGCTCTCCGACAACTATGACGTTGGGCCAATCTTCTCTGCTGTCCCTTGGCCCCAGGGCCCCACAAGGCGTAGCCAAAACATGCCGATTCTCTAAACGTTTGGCGTGGCAGCCGCCCGCAGCGCAAGCTGGAAAAGGCCGTATCTCTCTGTGGCCGCGACTGCGAAACTTGATCCAACGCCCTGACTGTTGGTTGAAGGGTCTTCTTGCAGCTGCTATCATTGACAGTAACAAGAACGAAGGCACCAAGCGCCAACACGGAGGCTTTCAGCAGATTTCGCGCCATGGCAGGATATGCTTCTCCCAAACTATCATGCAGAGCGCCCCAATGATGCATGTTTGTGCCTGCTTTAGTGGCACGTCCGCTGGACACAACAATGGGTGGGGCTAAGTGCCTTGTCTCCCACCCTATCCACCAAGCTTGGGGAAGTAAATGCATTCAACACGAGTCTGAGCATAGCACCAACAATTGCAAGACTACCTTTTGGGGTTCCTTCATGCTCCCTGGTCCGTGTAGGGTTCGAGATTTTGAAGCAGGCTTAGTTATTATGGATCATGCATCCTGGCTCATCGTAAACATACGTGGACAAAACTGTGTGTAGTTATTATCTATTAAAGACCCCAGAAGGGACCCATAAATTCATGAAACCGGCATCTGGGGAGCAGAGAGGGAGGGTCAGGGCCTCATAACAGGATAAACGCCGTCTTCTGCATTGGAGATCAAGTCCACCTGAGTCAAGCATGCCAAGAGATTACATTAATGACTACATGGGCCTCAAGGCTTGGCGCTTTGAGTTTCGGAGTTCCCACGTCATGTTCAGGGACTTGCGAGCTGTTTTCTGGTAACACATGCATTTCTAGGTTCCCAAATCGGGCATGGTGCAAAATCATGCTACTCAAGTACCAAAGCCATGCCGCTTGTCACAATACGTCTATGTGTAGGTGCAAGCCTGCCAACCAGTATATCGAGATCGCCCATGTTTGCCTGGATCCCTACAAGCTCATAGCATCCGTCAGTCAAATGATATTGAGATCTGCAGGCAATTTCTATTTGGGCACTTACAGCATACTTACTGCTACTCATCAGCAACCAAATACCAAGCAGCCTTTCGACAAGTTTAACTCCTTGGCCCCACACAAGGCGGAAGACCAACTTGTAGAGGTCGTCAAGTTCCTCCTACGTGGTGTGGGGGTTAGCAGTTAGCATGTTGGCATGGCCTGTTCGAAGAACGGGCCTCAGCCAACACAAGTACATCTGAACACCTCATACGCAGCATTGTTAGGCCCTGATTCTTGGGGAGTCTCCCTTGCGGGTCCAGTCCCACCATCCCTGGTAGTACCATCAGTACCCCAAACAGTCCTGAGCAACCTTGACGGATGCTTCTTCAGCAAGTCGGACATCATCAAACTCCTGCTCTCAGCCGTATCTACCCAGACGCAACAGGGGTTTCTATACTGACCGAACACGAACATGGAACCAGAAACCTTCAGGTTTCTTAGCAATGGCAAATGGAATTCGTTTGCGAAAATTCTGCGGTCCCTGAAGAGGATCCAGCCCCCGCGTTACCTTCTTGGAACTGGCTTGTCATGTTGCGATGATTTGCTTCAACTTCAGGAGTAGAGGGGAAGAAATGAGGAAGCTTGCAATGTTGCCAAAGATTGAACCAAGCTAGTTGAGAGTTTCCCAAGATTAGGGGTACCTTTTTGGGGGTCCCTATAATAAGGACTATAATTTTTTGGGGTCTATATTGGGGTCCCCTTGTTTTCGGAAACTACCAGTTCGGCCTAAGCTTCACAAATTCAGTAGCTACTCGAGCCGAAGCCAGACCAAAGTTTATGGTTACGAGTACCCCTTGGCTTAGGCTCCGAGATGCGAGTGCCCAGGAGCTTCTGAATTGTGTTCTATGTTTTCTAGGCCCTGCCGGCACCGTCCGTGCATGGATGAAATGACGAATGTGTGTAAGGTACAAGCTATGTATTGCTTGTTTGCCCAAGTTTCCACTGAACAGGTCCAAAACCCTTCCAAAACACCTTAGGGGTATATGGGGGAATTACATTGGGGAGTATTATAGGGGTGATTAAGGGGGATACTTGGAGTTTAGACTAGAGCTCATATGCTCAAATGTCTGAGGCCATGGTGGAGGCCAAATTACAGATGACCAGCGGCTCCAGCACCGTCGATACGCCTTACATAGAATCTCGGCTCGTTTCCCAGCACGCTCCCTCGCATGCCAACATCAGAAGCTAAAAGGTGAGCTTTTATTAATACTCAGATGGAGTAGGTGCCCCATCTCTAAAGTGTACCAAGACGCAGAGAGGAGCCCCCTAAGTACACACACACACACAAAAAAAAACATAGTACAACCCAAGCTCAAATCTGTTCAGGCCTCCAGAAGGGTCCAATTCTGCTCGCACTTTGTCTTGAGCGTCGTGATCAGACCATCCTGGAGGGCTACAGAATTTTGAACATGAGGTTGCCTTTGCGGAGCCCTGGGTTTTAGGAAAGGAAGTAGTATCGGAAGAAATGTCATAGGATGTCAAGGGTCTCTCCAGCTACAGGGATCGTTGTACGCCTTTCCATCCCAGACCCAGGGGAGCTCAAAACCTGAAGCCCGCGCACCTTTCGTAGAATCCAGCCGCTTGTTGTAGTGTAACGGTGTAATTAGTCCCTACAGAGTCTTTCACATATACTTTTCCACCTGGATCATCAGTCATCACTTGTCCCATTTTTCAGGTGTGGACAATGTAGGATGTTGAATGCCAGACGGCGGAGACGCAAACAAGTTTATCCCCATGACACTTCATGGTCTCTCTCGCATGGCATGCAATGCAGGGATTGCCTTCGCCTCCTTCAACTCCGTCATCTGCCGAGTCACCAGGGCCCTTAACAACAAGTGTGGTGAAAGTTTTCGTGCTCATTTTAGAGTGACAGCTGCTGTGTTCTTCATTTTGGAGTTAAGACCTTGTTTTCCCAAAATACACCAACATTCACTCCACCATATTCCTAAGAAACCTTTCCGGGGCGGGAATGTTTTCTTGTTGTCTGGCGGTTTTGCCTGGTGAGATAACGGTCTGGCTGAAGGCCGGGGCTGGTCACTTGATCATTTCATCCTAGTCGATCTAGACCCTAAACCCTAAACTCTAAATTGTAGTTATCCTTTTCTTTTCCATTATCCCTATATGACCCCAAATATATAATGTATAGACTTTGCATGTACTGATCCTTAGGCCTTGTGTGTTGATGAAGATAGGGACCAGCCAAGGGGTACAAGCTTACCGACCGACTGGTAGGAGCCCAAACCTGCAATATGAGAAAAAGAGGAAACCCACGGCAACCATTCCACACTCACCGAAACCAACCTTTTTGTTTTTAAGCTACAATTGTTATATGGTGTCAAGCCTCGGGCTCTAACCGTGAGGAACTGAAGGGATTGGAATGCTGTTGGATAGTGGCTCTCAATACTACCGCCCAGTGAGTGCTACATTCTGGCTTTCAGAAAATGAATGCCCACGACAGATCCCTGAGGGCCATAGGCCGCGAGCGCTTGGAACTACTTGTTTTGGGGAGCCATGTGGAATCCACGCATACACTCATAGACCTCATGATGTACAGATTAAGGATCTTTGTTGCCCTCATGGGTTGCTATCATGTACATGTGGTGGTCTGAGCCCTGCCTCTTGGTCTTATGGAAGCAGACGACAAATACAGACTAGTTTTTGCATTGTAGTTCATGGACATGGGCTCCTATTATGGAATTTGATAGGGACTAGACTCCATGCCAAGGGCAGGGGCACGCCGTGGCACTCAGTTGCTGAACGATCCCGGATTGTAAGCAGACTTTCACCTAGGCTTTCCTGCATAACACAGTTTAAGGCGACCATAGGTAAAGCAATATGACGTTGGCTCTATTTAAGTACTGATTCATTAATGCAGCATGCACACCGCCAAATGTTTGCCCAAGTTGTGGCATCGTTGGGCTTCCAGATCTTGTGTTCTGCGTGGCGTTATGTTCGACAAAGTGCCGCGAGTATGGATTGCATTCTCTCACCAAGGCCCTGCACAGTGTGCATGCATCTTTGTCATAATGTTGAGCATACGACGTGCTGCTGAAAGACGGTGAGGTCGATGACAAGGATTCTGTCTGAATGACTTTGTTTCCTTAGGTAAGGACTCACGCTAAGGTTCTGGAGCTGTGCAACACCCAATCTCCACAGCTGGTTGCCATAAGAAAGTTCTTGACTTTCCTGAAACCATGGTTGTGGCGTGGGAGTTCTGTGTCTGTTGGGGCCGGGCCTCCCAGTCTTCGGCTCTGCAGCGGGGAGGGCTACATCACGGAGTCCCACACATTCCCACACTCACAAAAATCACACGGCGAACGTCCGCGAGCCACACCGTGCTTGTACTTGAGATGGCCTGGATCTTGAGACTCCGGCCATTAGCCCCATATAAAACTTCCCTACAACTCCTATCGATCCCCTTCAAGAATTCCAAAATTCAGCACCTACTGATCTCGAACAACCATCTTCAGTCCGTGGCTTTCTTCAGCCCTTCGACTGCATGAAACCAATTCTCAAAAACCTTGCAAGTGGAGTCACGAGTCTTCGAGACCAGAAATGTGCAGCTCTCGGCTACGATACCTCATCCATCCTCAGCCCTACACCCAAGCTTGACCCTAAAAAACAAGATCTCATAGCAAACTGTACCACACCTTGAGCCCTAGGCTGCAATTCAATCTCATCCTAGCAACTCAACACCCTGAACCCTAACCCTGCCCTGAACCCAAAGGACCCTGAACCAAAAGTCCCGCCTCAACCTGCAGCCCGAATTTTCTGAGGCCACTGCTGCAGCTCCTCGCGAGCTTGATCTTCGACCTCCTTCTGGCCGTCCTTCAATCTTTGGGGCAGAACGCAACATGTGATAGGGGTAGCAGAAATAATCACAAGGTACAACAGGAAATCAGTGGTCATCGTACAAGAAGCAGTGGCGAAAGCACAGTAATCATGGGCAGTGACGAAAAGTACGTTGGTGACACCCATAACCGCGACTATCTCGGAATATCAGAATGCCGCTCTAGTCGTAGCAAGTGCCCAGCAGCGACCTCCAAAGCATTGGCGATTCGCGGAGCAATCGTGTGTCCCTGCGAGCAGCTGAAGGGCAACTTGACGGGCATGACTTTGGGATCCTAAGCCCAATCCTCTCCACGCTTTATGAGGGAGATGTTAAGCCGTAGGCTAAGGGCGTTCCGTACAATAGGTACCTTCCTTATAGCACCTGCATCCCCTCGGAAATTCAGTCAGCATCATCTCGTCATGGCAGCCTCTGAGGTTTACTATCCCATCTTTGAGGTCCGAGGGCCGTGCTATTCCATATAGGGTCAGAAGTGCCCGAACTACAGCTATATTCACGCCTATGCTAGTTGAAACGCAGCAAACCAGTAAGCCGGAAGTCCTAAACAAGGAAGCAGACCTAATCAGCGCTAGCCGCTCTAAAACGTTTGCCAGTCTGGAAGGACACGGTAACTTGATCACTGCGTCGATAAGCCCTAATCATGCGCCCTAACTCTATCAGCACATGGCTCGATTCTATGTGACCTCTGCAAGCCTTTGCAAAAACTTCAGCTTCAAAAAAAGTATAATTATCTTTAGTCACAATTCCTCCACGTTCAAACACCCCCCCCGTCCCGCACACACAACACACTTAGCGACTTAGGTGTGGATGCGAATCCTCGTGTTCCAGCTCACCTGATGCTATTGTATCGAAAGCTGCCTACCACAGCTGCTGCTGACAAATTGACCGTCTTATCAATGCTGTGGTTCTTTGCAAGAGTACTGCTGTTTCTATCAGAGGTGTTCTCCTACATCCTTGTTACTCGTGTATTTACCTCTAACGAGCAGAGGAATCTCAACTGCACCCACGTGAGGAACAGGAATAATACCCATTGCCAAGCCTTGGGTTTTCTAGATGCAGCTAGTCACTTTTTGATATTGTTTGTCCTGTCCTGATTGAGGATCGAAGTAATGCCCCTGTCGTATTTTCCTGCTGGAGGGTGGAGACTGAAGTTGGCATAGTATGAATACTTATCAAAATAGTTGACTGTACTGTACCCTGCCTTACTCCATTTTTCATTCAAGAATTTACATATGACCAGCGCTCATTCAGGCAAAGCGTGCCGCCTCTTGTTGAGAACAGCAAGTCTCTGGCAATGTTGGCCAACTACTTTGCAAGGCCTGCGACCATCCTGGTGAAGAATTCCCATAGACCGTTGTTCCCGCTCAGCCGACTACACAGATCCACTTCGCCATTGAGACATGCACATGCGGCCACTGTTTCAAATCCATCACAGAAAGGTTCACTGGAATTGATTGCAGGAAAGCTCTGTTCAGCTTTGCAGGTTTTTGTGCGCTTTGACTCAGAGCTTCCCTCGAAAGATCCTCGTGCCAGGATCTTGCTACAGGAACCTCGAATCTGGAACGTACACTTTGAAAGGCACGTCTTCTTGCATCCACGGACAAGGTAAAATGCCCGCACCACTCAGTACCCTTTCGCAAGCAGATCAGCTCCGAGCCGGGTTATTTCTGCACCACCCGATACCCTGACTTACTGCTACTTAATAGAAAAAATCATATAAGATTAGGGAATACATAGGGATTGTCTTCCGTGCTTCCCTACTAAGAACCAGTACCCTGCAGCCTGAAGACCAAGAGTGCCGGCCTGCCATCTGCAGCCTTCATCCTTACATCGACACAGTAAAGTATCTTCAGCGTGCCTTGTTCAACAGGCAGATGACATCTCTGCAAACACCAGACTCCCCTTTTGCAACTACAATCCACAATGTCCCGGACAAGAGGAGCTTACAGCTCTTTTTAGAGGCACCCCTGTGGTCCCTACCTGTCAGGTGCGATTACTGGAAAGTCTCAATGCCCGCGCCTATACATGCAACAAGAAGGACTGCAAACATATTCAGAAACCTGTCTGTATTCCGCAGAATAACATTCCTGAAAACCTGTGGTCTTCGAAACCTTGCGAAGCCCCAGAATGAAAAACGTATCCAAAAGCCCCCCAAGACATCCCCGCACGCCTTACATGATGCCTGTATAGTGACCCAATATTTGGGACCATCACCTTGCGAAACCTAACCCGAACCCTGAACACCAAATGCTTAAAGCCTGAACTCTAGAACGAATAAGCCCTGTACCCCTATTGAAGCCTATAGCAAGGCCTGGACAAGGGCGTCATGACCTTTGAAAATGAGGTTGCCGTCGTCAAGATCACTGGCCCAGGGTTAGTTTCTGAGGTTCATGGCATGAAGCCTTATTGCTATGTACAGAGTATGCTAGCAGTCGCGAGGAGTATGCAGGATTGCATGAGGTTTGATTATATACAGGAATAGACGAGGATAAGGGGCGTAGGATCAGGAGGCTGACGGTCCGGGATATGTAGGAGTATGGTTGCCTGCATAGAGAGATGGGATGATACAAGAGCACATGGGGGTGTAGTTGGGTTTGGGCTCAGGGATGTCAACTACGCAGGGCTCGCCTTCGGCAACGGATAGAAGGTTGAAGGTCAAAGCTAAAGGGGCCAGCAATGCTTTCATGGTCGAGAGAACAGCCCTATATTCAAATGTAGCAAAGCCGTCTTGACAACCTTGCCCCGCGAAGGCCGGGATGGACTCGCATACGGAGAGACGTGACTTCGAGAAATATCCAATATGAAATCTGAGCGGCTAGGAAAACTACCTGTTACGAGGCTAAGGGGCTATCGCCATAATTAAGGAGAGGCTATATTATTTAGGGTTTAACATGGGACTATGTAGGAATTTAATAATGGCTATAGAAGCAATAGTGCTTATCAGCTCCTTCCAGCAACTTTCTTAGCCTGGTTGAATCTGATTTTTCTAGATCCTGTATCAGAAAAACCGGGCAAGGGCATGTTCTCTTCAAACGACAACTCCCAGTCCAATGCAGAACTCTCGACACGCAGACAGACCTTCGATGATTAGAGGAGCTCCGCATGAGAAACTCCTACAGACTACTTCCTTACGCGCTTCACAAGCACCGCACCCCAAGCGCAGATGCACTCAGAAAAACGCGTATGCAATGCCTGTACATGTCGTCATATGCTAGCGAGGAACTCTCTTGCAAGCTCCAAAAATCCGCTGGTCAAGACGCTGAACCTGAACGAGCAACAGCAAACACACGAGTGCAAGCGGATGGGCGTGCACCCGCACATCATATGTACTCGGTACCTTCAACCCGACCTGAAGCAAGAGCTGCCTGGCCTGGACTGAACGATGGCCTCTAACTGTTCAGGCAAGCTTTTCGCCTTCTCCTGGCAGGACAATAAGTACTCCATAGGGCCTGGATTTTAGGGTCTATCCCCTGAGATGTCTTGAAAGCAGACAATAGTGCTCGGACCGCATGGGGATATAGGAATCTGCAGCCGATGGTGTTTTGAGGTGCCGCATCGTCTTACAAGATGTTGCGGGGTGGCTTCTTCTCAGTAATGGCTCTCTTTTGGGCAGCCAGTGTGAGGCACGGGCACATGACTCCATGCGCGCATGCAGGAATGGAGACTTCCAGCGTTCTTCATTCCTAAACGTGTGAGACCCAAGGCCACACATCCAAAGCCTACATCGAAGAAAACCGAACCCTCCAATCCCCTCCTTCCCTTCCTACAGCGCCAATGAAATGAGAAGTACTCATCATGGACTCCTGCTACATGACACCAAGGTATTCAAGGTACGCCCAGCGAAAATGGGAAGTTGGGCCCGCAGATTGCCCAAAACACGCGGTAGCGAGCAGAACGCGTGAACGACCCACAGCAAGGCCCCCCATTCACAGGGCTCCGAAAAAGAAAAAAAAAACCTTCTCCAGCCTGTAGCTCATGCCTTCATCCTGATGGCCTCACCACTCGTGGTTCCGCATGTTGTAGCAGGTGGCGTGTAATGGCGCCGGTGTTTGCACGAGCAATGAGGATGACAATGCTATCTAGCAGGTCCGTCCTCTCGTGTACAGCAAACTCACGAAGACGCGAAAACCTCATCACAAAAAGCAATCAACAATACAAATTGGAAATGACGCCTGGATTTTAGAAGCTTTCCAATGACAAGGGATCCTCTCTTTGGAATCAGGATTGAAGGACAAGTTTCTTTCACACATTCCAGATCCAGAATTGGAGAAAAGCAAGTTGCCTGACAAATCCTCAATGTGTTGAGGGCCTTCTCCGCACCGAGAAACAATGCTAGCTCAGTGGCGCAGAGTCCCATGGACTAGTCTGAGAAAGTGAGACAAGCTTTATAAGAAATCTCTGAAGAAGAATTTCGTCTCTTCCTCCAAGCGGAGGCCCATACTTGGCCTTAAACTGCTCAACCTAAGCCGGAACGTCTCCTTCAGGAACGCTTCCATGCTTTCCTCGCCAGGAGGGTCAATCCCACGCAGTCGGCTTCACTATAAGCTGTGAAGGAAACCCTGCAAGTTACTGCAAATAAGAATCCTGCTCATTGTGGGGAATGGAAATCCTCCGCATCGTAGGGGAATGGGGTCTTATGGTGGCTTCAAGCAAGAGATTGAGCATGCAGAGCTTCTTTGACGCATGCCCCCGCCCGCTGTAGCAAGCATGCTTTACTCCCAGCTCCCGATTACTCTGCAGGTTTCGGTCGGGTTCAGGATTTGGGGGTAAGATTTGCAAAGTTCAGCGTAATCAATAGTCAGTATTCCGTAATCGGACATGACCTGCCTGATAGCAGATGTCAACTTGTATCCCCTGTATCTCACGCCCCATTCCTATGTCGCACACATCTGTCTCCAGAACGCGTTGGAGCAATGCGCGATCTTTCTTGCTCTCCGAGCTCACCTAGATGTTTCCTTGAGCCTCTGCTTCAGTCAGTTCGTAAGCCCTACCGCCCTGCGACTGTATGGATGCTGCATCTGCAGCACCCCTACGTACCATTGAAAATGATTCATGGTGCTCGAACCGCTACAGTAGCTCGAAATGTAGAGGAGAAGGTTGTGTGAGAATGTCACGTGTGAACACCATGATTTACATGTATGACACTATAGCTGTTGTGGTAGAAGATATCTGGCAGTCGCGGCATGGTGTCAAGATGTAAGTGGCAAGGGTCGTCGTACCAAAAAATGAACTAAAGTCGAAACTCCAAACTCCGTAGCAGGATGCGCTATAGCCATTACATCAGAGTACACCATGGCTCGTAACTCTGTGCAGCATGGATTGGGATCTGATGGTACCCCTCTAGCAATGTCGCTGTAAGAAAGACCCCTTGAAGTGGGAATTTACAGTTTGATCCCAAACTGGCAACTAATCCAGCTAAGCTACTACAAACCCCAGACAAAACTTGAACACTCCCCATACCACCCCTCCCCAACCCTCAAAACCCATACGGCATCTTCGATTTTGACGGTTCTGCCTCCAATTTGGTCAATTCCATCTTGAGCTCGTTCCTACCTCAGTTGCTGGGGCTTGCTTCAAACAAGGAGATCTCATCCTCGGGGTGTAGCATGGTACCTTATCAAATGCCTTATTTCTAATCCCTACTCCCAAAATCCCTCAGCATTGCGAGGCCCCCAGTTTCACAAACTCCCATGTCCATCCCTGGTAAGCTCTTACAGGCCCTGGCTGGGTTTCTAGGCTGCGTAGATGCATCTCTGCCCCGGGAGAGCAGGTGTCCAATGAAATCTCCAGCAAGCTGGCAGTTCCACTTTCAGTTCTAGGGTCCGTCCGTTTCTCTGCGCTTCGAGCTTTATGGTATTTCCTTGGAAGCCAAGTCTTTCAGACACGCAGCTATGTCTCTGCGACATAGCTTGCAAGCCTCACCCACCCAAAGCCTCCAGGATTGCTAATTAAGCCACTCACAAGATGGAAAGGCCACAGGGACCCGTGCTTTTCCTTCATACTCCAGCCTGTAAAATTTACCCGAGAACAACTGCGTTTACTGGGGAATTGCTGAACCCTTCATCTGATGTCACCGCAAAGACTAAGCTCACCACGGTTCTCCAAATGAATCACCTGCACACATTTGTAGTGCTGGTGGCTTACTCTTCAGCAAGCCACACTCTGAACTGTGCTTGAGGGGATGGGGCTGCCCAAGTGTTGCTCAAAAAGCCGTGGCCTTTTTTGATGCGGGAAGGCGCATGCGCATCAGTGAGGTGACCGATGCTGGCTGCGAGAGACTGAGTCTAGGTCCCCTAGGAAGCTCAGGATATAAAAAAACAGGCTGCGTGTTACTGATAGTAAGCCTTCGGAAGGCGGAGCCTAAGCGGGGAGCAAAGGTACACTGGGAGACCAAGCTTCATCTGAAGTCGGTTGGTGAAACACGTCACGTGTGGCTGCCTCGACACCCGCATTCCAGTTGATTAGGAAGTAAAAGAGAGCCGTAAAGGGAGGCATTGCCACGTAGCACGCATGCTATAAAAATGATGCCCCAGCACAAGCTGAAACTTGCCGCCTTGAGAAACTTGAAATATGCTCCAAGCATGAGCAGAGCAAATCCGCCACGGCGACGCAGCCAGTCGTCAGGCATGAGGTTTATACCAAGCATCCTAACAACACTTAAACTTTTTTACTATGATTTTTTGGGTGCTGGTGCTTTAATGGTTCAAAGCTCTCATGTGGCGCTTGTCAAAAATTGGCTTCAAGTCTGTTGGCAAATATTGCACCCAGTGCTCTCACTAAGACCTACGATGAAACACCGAATCCCAATTAAAAGTCAGGCCCTAACCAAAGCTATGTGGCCGCAACCGCCACGGTTGATCACCCTGTACCATTTCCCAGCTCTGACTGACTGCGCGGGGTGGCGTGGGACAGAGTTTATGATCTCTGTGCTCAAGTGGTAGTTGATCAGTAGTCCCAGATAAGCGTTTCCAGATGTGCCCGTTTAAAGATCGGCCCTCGTGGGTGCACTGCTTTCAAAGTGGCTGATCCTGAATGTTGCGAATATTGCCTGTTGCGGCTATTGGGTGTTGCGATCGTTGTCATCTGACTTCTGCGTCGTGCGGCTAGCAAGTAGTCACGCTATCCTCATTTCTGTTTCGCTACGACTCTTGTTGTAGAGTTTCTCCTACTGGTGTCTATTACTACTGCACTGCCCCTGCTCATGCTACTGCCACTGTAACTGCTGCTGCCGCCGTATTACTATTGCTACGACTGCTACTCGTGCTGCAACTCATCGTAAGAGTGATCATATTCAGCATAGAGGGACTGTTTAGATCAACCCCAGGTGCATACAGCTCATCTTTAGCAACCCATGTTTGCGCACCGTCACCATCGTCCCAAGGAAGGTGGAATCTTTCTTTTCGCATGTCTGTTGCTTGTTTCGGTCTCGTCCGATGGCGGTGACAGGGAAATTTGCTTGAACCCCGTTCGGGGTAGGTCTTGAGCTATGTCACGTTCACTGACATGCTTGGCGGTGCCAGCAAGTCAGTGCCACAAGCGCGATCATTCAGCATTGATGCTAAGATCTATACACTTTAGAGAGACGTCTGACATGCACGAGAACAACAACAAGTCTGAGGAGCCACACTACCTTTAACCACAAAACCACAAGGTAATCCAAGGAGTAACCCCTTCCCCAAGTCATGGTCCCCGCAACCCCCTAGAAATGAATGTTCTCAATAAAGTATCATCATGCAGTAGGGGTGAGGATTCATTGTCTGGGGCAGGGGAGTTATTTTGGGGAGGGGGTTCTCAGAGATACAGCGTACACTCACTGTATTTCGCAGCACTGGGACCTTGGCTCTGCTTCGTGTGGACCACGGGGGGCCACCGCGATAAGATGTGACAAACTCCTAAACCTTGGGACCTGCCCCCATCTTAGGGTTTCGGGTTTAGGCTTTATGGTTGAAGGTTTAGGGTCTAGGGTTGAGGGTTTGTGGTTTAGGGGTTAATGTTTAGGGTTTAGGGTAATTTTCAGGGCGACATATGATTATGCAGAACTTGTTATCAACTGTGACTGAGTGGGGGCACTACCCAACCTGAACCCTACATCCTACACCCAAGCCTGAAGGTCCCTCCTGACTCCTACACCCCCAAAACACTCAATTCCCTAAACCCTAAACCAAAAATCCTAGACAGACTGCACCTCTAAAGCGCCCAAGCCTCTAGCCTCCATAATGGGATAGACACCCTAAGCCCCTAAACAGTAAGTTCAATTTCATTTTCCATGTGATTTTCCATTATGTAGGGTAATAGATCCCAGCCCCCACCCAACCCCCCAAAACCTTGAAACCTAAACGCAACAGCCAGGCCACTGCCGCTGGAAGTTTTTGTCAGCCAGGGCATGCCACATTGCCATGGCCGGGATCGCCTCCCAAGTACAGTCGCAAGATGGTTTGGTTTGGGATTCGGGGCTGCTAGCGGCTTGGGATTTAGACTTTTTGGGAGTTTAGGGTGCTGTTTTAGGGTTCTGTGGATAGTGTTGAGGTGCAGTTTGCATGATGTACAGGGTTTCTCAAAACCCGACTTTGGTAAGCCAGATCGCCCAAAGTCATCGAATCTACGCCACAAATCATCTGCCATCTATGGACTTTGTGCAATGATGCAGTCTATCTGCTTCAGAATGTCTCTAGCCCGTTGGGGTCTAGGATTTTGGGCTTGAGTTTTCATGTTAGGGGTAGCCTCCTCAGACAGCGGCAGCTCAGAATAGTGTTTGCAAGAGCGCACGTGGTTTCAAAGTACATGTCGCCCTTCCCAAGAGCCCTGTGAATCTTACAAACCTACATGCTCAGGCATTGGACTACCCGTGCATGTGCCATACAAGCGTAGAATACGTTGTTGAGTGTGTAAAGATCCGAAAACATGCGGGATGGGTGGCAAAACCAGGCAGAATACAAACATGCGGACAGGGAAGTCATCTCTATCTTCATCATGCTGCCAATTCAACAACCGTTTCCCATCAAAGCATCTACAAGATTTAGACTGATGATAAGGGAGGCGCGAGGAAGCTGTGCTATGTAGCACTAGCAGTACCCTATACCAATCTTAACTCCCCAGCCCTGCACCTGGACAGCAAAACACCGCCAACAAAAAAAAACATAGAAAGGCTGGCATTCCTCGGCACTTGCGCACTTGCGTTGGGATTTAGGCTTGGCATCACAGCTGTTCGGGCGACAGCAGCTTACTATGCTCCTCAACCTGGGCTTGACGCGTCTACCAATGTTGCAGCGGTTTTGATCATCATCAGGAAGGGTCGTGGTAGAGTTAGATTTTCTTGAGCCCTGAACCCTCCAAGAACAACAAAGTCTTAGCTGCGACGGCTTCGCTTGCCTCGTCCCGGCTGATTCGGCCATTTCCACTGCTGTCGCACTGCGCAAGCACCCAGAGGACGTCATCCTCAACCGGAAATTCTAGGGCTCTGGTGTCTATAGCTAGCGGCGAATCCTCATTCTGAGACCGTATGACAAACCGGGGTCCCTATGTAACATCGGAGTGACAACAAATTTCGGATCAGCCCGGGAGCCCTGCATACAATGGCTGTTACAAGTCGACGCAAAGTAGTTGATCGCCCAGCCGAAATGCTTCGGTTCCGTTTCTTTCGCTTATGACTTCCCTCTTTGGACATGACTTTAAGGACCTTTCAGAACGAACTGCGTTGGAAGGGCTAGGCAGAACCTGAAATACTAACACCCCAACATCCGGTAACCACAGAGTTCACATATAAATGCATACTATATGGGCCTCGCTATCTTACCAGGGCATCGAGTTGGGCTATACTATCAGTCATTACCTCCAAAAGGGTCATACCCTGAATCGTGAACCTCAAGCCCAAGAACGCTGAACTCTACTTGTAGCCCCAAGATGACTTTGCTGACCGGGTGCAGAGGTTACGGGGATGGAGACGATCATGCCGTACCTGCAGTCGCAGGTTCTTGGTTTAGGGTGCTAAGGTTTCGAGTTGGGGGGGGGCAGCAAAAGAAAAGGGCCGGAGGTGCAAAGATTTCAAATGAAAAGTTATAACTTTTCAAACTCATACCGCAAACCTGTGACTCACAAGCTAGATACGCTACCCGGGTGTCAGGGTTGACAGACATTTGATTGGCTACAGGGGCGCAGAAGCAAACCCACAACTTTGATCAACCTCGGTATGAGTCGCAACACTGACGAGGTTCAAACCCCAACCCTAGAAGCTTGCAAAAGAAAACCTACATCCTAAACCCTAGACCGATTATACACCCAAACTCTCTGGGTTCTGTGCAGCTCATGTGGCTCTGTGTCTAGGTGGGGTTCCCCGAGCGGGCCCTTCAAAATCCCAGGCGGCTTGAGACCTTCCGTAATCGGAAACCTTCAGGGAATTTCTGGGAGAATTCTCTTCTCAGATCTCTGCATACCACCTGAAGAAAAAGCTAAATAAACATAACCGTGAGCTTTGGGGCCAATAGCTCATCTCCTTGATGCATGCAAGGTTCTTCTCCCTCTCACCATCTCGATCCTGAGTTTGCTGAGTTTTGCAGGGGCTTCCTAGGCTGCTACGTTCTGATGCCCAACTTGAACTTATTGACTAGTTGGCGCTGGCTTGCTCCTTGACTCCTCCGCAGAGCTCAGGGACTTTCTTTCAGCATCTGAAGAGAAGGAACCGTCCTGGATGCAGACTCGCACTTACTACTATGTCACAAGACGTCCGCAAAGTCAATTGTTGTGATGGCCGCTGACAGATCATGGTGAATTGTCCGTGCACAGGTGCGATCCAAGCAGCCTCGATGTATTGCCTGAGATACAGCGCATGTTTGATCATAGCGGATACCCCATACGACATATGAGTAGAACGGAAGCCAAGGCAGTAACGTTTCGGTTTGGGTCTCAGGGGCAGCATTCCTCTTCCAAAGCAGGGGCTGTGCAAGAGTACGTGGTAAGTGCTTCCTGTGAGTTCCTGGGCAGCATGGATTAGCATTTGACGACCAGGTACGTTCCTGGAGCAACTTGAGATTCACATTTTTCTAGAGTTGCGCGCTCCCAGAATTAGGGGCTTTTTGTTGGGAGGTGCGAGTGTTATCTAGCATACACAAGTGTCATGTTGCCAGCCCTCAGATCATTCACAACCAGTCCTTGGTTGACTTAAATCCAGAAGGCTTAACCTCAGTATAACCCCAACATATTATAGTAGTTTCCATTTCATTTTCCATTATCCCAATATAACCCCGATATATCATAGTAGTTTCCATTTTTCCATTATCCCAATATAACCCCAATATATTATAGTAGTTTCCATTTTACTTTCCATTATCCCATTATAAGGATTGTTTGAAGCCTGCATGTAGCTCTTCAGATCCCTTACAGAATAGCCTCCAAAGAACCTCCTGCTGGCTGCTTGAAGAACAAACCACTGAGCCGGCTGTTCACAAACTCATACACCTTTGGTATCTAGGGAGGTTTAGGGTTTAGGGTTTCGGGTTTAGGGGGTGCTGGCAAAGTGGCCTGGTGTAAAATTCTTTCGTGTGGCTTCCAAAGGCTTGCGAGCTATGATCTGAAGACTTGACGGACGTCGTACGGACTGCGAATATCTTACCTGAAGCCTTGTCCCAAAGTACTAGTACGCCTAGGACTCTGATTAATCATGAGACTGCCGACTTCAGAAACTTCAAGTTCGAGGGCGGAAACTCGAGGATGACCATACAAGGTACCGACTAATTAACTGCTTTGAGGCAAATACTCTCCATTCAACTGCTGTACTTTGGCGCTTCGGGAACCCCTATCTGATACTATCTAAAGCGATGCCCCGCTCCAAACCTATAATATGTACTTACCCCTGGCCCCAAGTTCTCTAGTCGTGCTCATGCTGAGACTCTGAACCTTCACCCCCCCAAGACTCTGAAAATCTTCCCCCAACCCTAAGCTTTAAACCTCCAAGACCTTCACTCTCAAGACGATGGCCCGAACCCCTACATCCCGGCAGCCAACAGCAAGCCGAGATGCAACGCCTGCTGCAACTCTTTGGCATCCAGGTAATCATCATGGTCTGAGTCAAACCTCCAGGATTCAGGTCTTGGGGTTGAATGCCTCTTTAGACAGATGTAGCCTGTATAATTTGAGCTTCGTATGAGTCTAACGGAAAAATACGAAGCCAGGCCTGCAGGATGCTGAAAGCATGAAGGAAGTGGTTCAGAGCAAGGTCAAGTGAGTGAAGCATTATTTCCACGGGAGCCGTGCATGACGTCATCTAACAGATCGAAAGTCTTCACCCGCAATCAGGTGAAAGGGTCTTATGGAATCCCTACTCTCAAGTTAACCTAGAAGTGCAGTTAAGCCCCCATCAGCAGGTCAGCAGGACAGCCATCAACAAATGGCTGCTTTTCAGGTTCCATTATTGTTCATTCGAAGGCATTATTCTTTGACCATCTTACTTGAAAGTTTGGGAAGTCGGTGGTGTAGAGCTCGGGATCTGGGCATGGAGCTACTATAGTGGCCGCTGTTGAGGACAAGCAGCCGCCGGTAGATTTCCTCGACGTCGTTTGCGTGACCTGCGGAACTTTGAAACTTGAGTTTCGAGCTCTGGCTTCAAGATGGCAAGAGATTCAGCACACCTATGGCTGGTGTCCTCAACCCGAGAATCCGAAACCAAATTGCAGCCGTTTGTTTTGAGGCCACCATCCCGATTTCAGCCTCACAGAGCCCTAAATAGCAAGAACCCCAAGCACTAACTATTTTTTCAAAGGCTGCCCAGGATCAAGCCAGGAAAAAAAGTCTTTTCCACTGCTGCGCTGTTCTCCACCAAAAGCGGACAAGGCCAGAGGGTGGCCAGAACCAAAAGCCCCAAGAACTGCTGAAAACGACCTGACACTAGCAAGAACAGAAGTCGCCAATCGCATCCTAGGCACTCAGGTAGTATCCTTAGTGCAAGTCACGGACACTGCCAAGTTACTTGACTTGAGACAAGATTATGCCTGGGGAGCCGAGAGACAGAGAGGGATAACAAAGGGTGACCTAGGCTGTCCCTCCCCGGCACTATTTAAAGGGGGCAAACTTCCCTCCACAGGTTCCTTTCTCACTAGGAAAACGAAAGTTTAGCAAATTGCGCTGCCGAGATCACAAGGAGGACCCCAAATTTCGGAAGCTTGTCATGAATGAGCTTTTTGAAGTTTCCTTGTTTTTGAACTGTCTCGCTGAACCTTCAGGGTGGTGCGCCCGGCCTGCATAGCTAGAGCTAGGAACTTCTGTGGGAGGGAATGAATGTCTCAAGCTTCTATGACAGCGGGAGCGGAACTTCCTGGAGAACAGTCTTCCCGGCCGACACGCCCAGGCGAGAGTTGATTTGGAAACGTTTTCTTCTGCAAATATTCATGTGTTAAGGGAGTCTAATTAAGGGAAATCGAAAAAGAGCTGTTTGTTGCTTGTTGAAGCTGTTGTCTGAATAACGCATTCAACATGGTGAGCTAGATTTGCCAGAAAATTGGAATTCAAGGGAAGTCTATCTGGAATTTGGGATCTGCTTGATGTCTGTAATCAAAAGATGGTTGCCTTTTCTGGAAATTGCATGGCCCTCAGTTGACGTTTTCAAACGATGCTCTTCCATTGCTAACACATCTTGGGGCGGGAGAATGCTTCGTCAGGGAGGACACATGCTCGAATCGCGGGAAGCAACAAGTCAGGAGGAAGTAGTTCAGCGTCAGGGTTGATGGAGTGCAGATGAGTTTCAAGCAGCTGATGATGTAAATTTTGCCTTATGGGAAAGATTCTGGCAACACTGTGCTCATGGTAATTCCCATCCCTCCAGTATATACTATGACATCACTATAACACCCCTTCATGCTAAATAGTTGTTGCTGCGCCAACAATCCTGGAAGATCATTTTTGACGGGGAAGACTACTCTTTAGCGGCCCAGCCTCAGATTAATTAGGGGTTTTAGGGTCATTACCTAGAATCACAGTGGTTGTTGATTGTGTTTCTGTATGTTTTTTTTCAGGACTTCATTACTTAACCAATTGGATCTCGTCAGTTTAGTGGTTAGAACTGAGTGGTTAGTTTGCAGTAGTAAAGAATACATGGTTTTACCCGCTCGGAAAACACGAACTAGTTCGTTTGTTAATTGATTGCTCAACTTGAGTAACTGGAACTCATTAGTCAGAGGATTCAATTGATTGGAAAGGGGCTTGTTTGAATGAATGCGCGAGGGAGCTGTACCTAATTCTTTCCCTAAGTCCTCACCTTATGCATATGTTTTAAGGCCGCGCAAGATAAAACATTACATTTCGAGGCATTTAAATATTATGGGGGCAGCCACTAAGAACTGTTCTGGTGCTGTCAGAACGCGAATCTTTGTGACCACGTTGAGCACCTTGGATGGCAGCTTCTGGCAAACACATCTTGCAGCCCCACGCTGATCCCTGACCAATGAAGCCCCATAAGACTACATGCATATGATAGATGATGGATGGCAAGTGAGCCTAAACAGATACTGTCTCTTGGAATGCTGAGGTCTTCGTATTGAATTGATGATCGTGTTATTCGGGTGGTTTCTTGAGACGCTCTACTTAGTTTCGCCCAACTCCCACAGTGTGCTGGAGATGCTTTGTATGAGGACTCCTCAAAGGGCTGGAAGCCTGCGAAACATTTGGGTAACAGGAATTAAATGTCCCAAGCACGAGTTGCATTGTGTGTCTACTGTAAAAGACACATCGGCCAGCTTCACATGAGGAAGAAAAGTGGCAGGTTGTCTTGAAGGGGCACCCGCACCGCTCTGTGAACACAAGACGTCCCCGGTGCATGCATGCTACTGGGCTCGGGGAGTACCCAGACTGCGATGACCTTTGCAACCTTCATACTTGCGAAGATTTGCGAAGTGCGGCAAGAATGCCGCCTACCATCTCTATGTCATCTTGACAGGATGCCTAGCTACATACGCTCGACCGTGACCGTAGACTCCGTAGCCGACGAACCTTCTTGACGCCATGGATCTGACCATCCAGAGCTACTGTAGAAGCCTAGATAATTACCCAAACTATGGTCCTATGTTCCTAGTATAGTATAGAGTAAAGCGGCGTACCTCGAGCAGACATCAATAAGATAGCCGTAATTGTTTAGGCCCCTGTACTACCCCTCATCAAACGGAAAAGGCCCCTATTTCACTCCAACCCTGGTGCCGGGGTTGGCACGGCTGCTCTCGTGAAGTAAGTCTCGTTATCTGCCTCTTTGGGAACTTTCTGAGGCTGCTGGTCCGGATGTTTGACGCGCGAAAGACAAGGGGTGTGTTTATGGATGATAGGATCACATGATGATGGTAGGGTGGTGTCTAAAATCAAGCTCCCATCATGAACGCTCAAGCCATGTGCCGAAACGAGAGCCCACGGATTCGTTCCAAGTGATAAGGTGTTTAATGCTAGCATGCTTATACTACGGGTGACATTCGCATCCACACACTCCGCAAGCGCAATTGCAGGCTTTCTCATGCAGCAGCCTGAGCCTCAAAGATGGAAAAATAGTTCAGGGTTCTGATTTTGTGGTCCCTCCCTTATACCCTGTAGAGTGAACTTAATGAAGCAAACGTATTTTGACTGCCACCAAAAAGACCTATGAACTTGAGAAAAAAATCTCCAACTTAGATTGATGGATAATGATGGAAACTGGTTGCATATCGGACTGCTTCTGGAAGGGGGGTGGCTCATTGATATAAAGGTGGTTGCCCAACAATCAGAACCCAAGACGCCTAGCCCCATGTTCGAAATGAAATGTTCTTCACAGGGTTCCCTGTACTTACACTCGGAATCCCCAAATAGGGGACCACATCCGCTCACGATCCAAAGCACGCTTTCCAACCCCTTGAGCTCGGCTGTTGCACTCGCAGTTCTGTGTGTCTGTCCCATCTTCATGTTGGACTTCTGACGGACTTGCAATCATTGCAGGCGCAACCCACTTGCCAAGTAGAACTAGGAACCTAGCATGGACTGTGACTAGTGGCTGGTATCAGGGAGCGCCTGCTTCACATGAGCTCACACAAGGGGCTGATGCTGTTGCTTGGCCTTAGCCACTGGACCTCGTAAGCTCTAACTTTGACTGGTGCCATCCACGTCTGAACTGCTTTTCATTGTACACGAGGAAGCAAGCTTCCTGAAGATTCACACAGATAGTCGCAACCTGTCCTTCAGGGGGATTGATGCATGCTTTTCCAAGCGGTCATACATGCGAAGAAGGGGTTGTCGACCTGAACTCTTAACCCTGATGGGTCGTAGTAGGCTTGTTGGTACGGACATCAGTGGAGCTACATCTTTAAGGCACATCTGCCTGGTGGCCCATTCAAAAACGTAACATTGGCACATCAACAGTAGCCTCACCGTCGGTGCATCGTTGCATCCCAACAAGACAAACAATGCCAATCCCTGTCAACACGCTCATCCCGATCACCGCTTGAATCTCAAAACGCTGAACCCCTGAATTCCTGCAGCAAGTGGCCTGGGGCGCGTCTGCCTGGTCCTCTGGGGTCAGCAGCGGCTCGGACGCCTGCAAAATGTTCAAGGCGCGACTGTTCCAAATACCAGATCAAGATTCATTGTATACATAATACATAACTTCTGTTTTTCTGCTTCAGCATACGGTCAGTTTAGGAACCCCAGAAAAATCAATCCTGCAACACTTGGGGCTCTATTTCATCTGCACATCCTAGCAAAGGCAACCTGGTTGCTTAGCTTCCAGGCCGAAGAACAAGTAAAGTTTTTGAGACCATACAAACTCATCCGCTCAGCTACTGCAGTACTGTAAAAAGGCAAAGGCAGACGGCTGATATCTGACAGCCTCCTTCCTGGCATCAGTTTTGGATATTGGAAGTCGATGCTCAGCCCTACTCCGGGCCTTTGTATTTTGTAGCCAAGGTAAAGTGCGAAACTATAAGTCAGCCGACACAGAACCCAGCCAGTGAACACGCCCAAGTATACAAACTAGAAGATGAGCTGAAAGCTCAAAGCAGTCAGCATTAAATGAACTCCGCTCATCAACATTGCGGATCATAGCTAAAAGCTGCACAAGTTACACAATAAATGGCGCACATTTACAGTTGAGTTGCCGTTTAGTGTCTCCGGATTATGGCAGCCTGGCTCTCCGCATGCTGAGGTCGGAGGGGTACGTACATCCCCAAACCTGCAGACCTGCAAGCCCTCGAGCAGTCAAACCAACAAAAACACCAACAGGTAGGGAATGCC